CTTTTAAAAAGTGACGATGTCAAAGAATATTTTTTTATACCATTTTAGACTCATGTTAATTTGCTAAACACCATTGTTTGCATTCTTTCCCCCCAAAAGAAAAAAATTCAGTTAAAATTTTGCACCGATTCATTCTAATGTATGGGAACTTTGTCCTGTTTTACCAAATTGATTTCAATAATTTCTTTCTTTTATCAATGATTTTTCTCTAAGACTTCACTTTATCTTAAAAAATCTAATACAAAATTATTGTCACTCTTTCAATCCTTTTGTGTTGAAACTAAAAATCAAATTATTATTTCGATCAAGATTCTAAAAATAACAATGCTAATAAATATTTTTGTAATATAGTTTAGACATACATGACACAATATGAGATGCTTCACCAATCGTCATGTGTCGATATTCCATCCCAAAATAGTTAAAATAAAAATGAACATCATTTGAAGATGGTAAGAGCTCTTTTTTTTTTTTTTCAAACCAATGTGCACAAACAATTTTGGATAAGAGCTCTTTTTTTTTCAAACCAATGTGCACAAACAATTTTGGGTCCATGCAGTTTATACTATATATTTTTAAACAATCAAATGTCATCCACTATTTTACAGAATCATATGCGCTGCCCAAAATTATTTCTAACTCTCTCATTGAATTACATATATTTTGGAGTACTTGTTTTATTCGTGATACTCGCCTATAGGTTTCTAAATTGAACCCTAAGCTAGTAAGGTGTCTTTCGAGGGAGCAATTATTAGGCGCGCAGCCCACACATGCGGATTTCATTGAATTTTGTTTGTATTGGTTGTATCAATGCAACCAAAAGTACAACAAAATAAGCACCTTCCGCACATATTTTATCTGCATTGAATAATTTTCCTATCTTTTATTTCAAACCAATGTGCACAAACAATTTTGGGCCCATGCAAGTTATACTATATTTTTAAACAATCAAATGTCTTCCTCTATTTTACAGAATCATATGCGCTGTTACAGAATCATATGCGCTGCCCAAAATTATTACTCGCTTTCTCATTGAACTACATATATTTGGGAGTACATGTTTTATTCGTGATACTCGCCCATAGGTTTCTAAATTGAACCCTAAGCCAGTAAGGTGTCTTTCGAGGGAGCAATTATTAGGCGCGCAGCCCCCACATGCGAATTTCATTTAATTTTGTTTGTATTGGTTGTATAAATGCAACCAAAAGTACAACAAAATATGCACCTTCCGCACAAATTTTATCTACACCGAATAATTTTCCTATCTAGAATACTCTCATTCGCATAAAGGGTGCCGATTTTTTTTTCCTCTAAAAAAGGTACTTCGTTTCTGCTAATGTCACATTTCATAAACAAATATAATCCTTTAGTGACATATCATTGCCTAAAACCTCACAAGATTCTGACAATTTCTCAATTTATCATATTATCAACTCAGATCTCAAGCACCAATTCCACAACCAACGCCTCAGCCCGGACCCCGTTTCACTAATGTTTGCTCAAGAAGACCTTGTCCCAATAATCCTAGTCTGGCACAAATCTCATCATCTTTAGTGGATCCACCTCCTAGTCCATTGATCTACATATTGCTCTTCAAAGAGAGAAACATCAATGCATCTATCAAATTTTATTTGTTAACTATAAACGGCTATCTTCTACTTATTGTTCCTTTATTACTTCTCTAGACTCTGTTGAGATTCTAAGATATGTACAGCAAGCCCTGTCCCATTCTGGGTGGCAAACAACAATGTTTGTTAAAATAAATGTCTTAACTAAAAATGAAACCTAACAACTAGTTAAACAACTTTATGGAAGAAAAAGTTGTTAGTTGTACATAAGTCTTTCCAGTTATATCGTCTCAAACCCCGGTTGGTTGCTAAGGGCTATGCTCAAATTTATGAGATTGACTACTTAGACACGTTCTCCCTGGTAGCTAAGTTGACTTCGAATCGCCTTTTATTGTTCGGAGCTACAATGAATTATTGACCTCTACATCAACTTAATGTGAAGAATATCTTTCTACATGGTGACCTTTCAGAAGAGGTACACATGGAGCAACCTCTACTGGTTTGTTGCTCAAGAACACGTTCTCCCTGGTAGCTGAGTTGACTTCGAATCGCCTTTTATCGTTCGGAGCTACAATGAATTATTGACCTCTGCATCAACTTAATGTGAAGAATATCTTTCTACATGGTGACCTTTCAGAAGAGGTACACATGGAGCAACCTCTACTGGTTTGTTGCTCAAGGGGAGTTTGGGAAAGTATGACGCCTTCGAAAGTAATTATATGAAATGAAGTAAATCCTCGGGCATGGTTTAAAATATTCATTAATATATTAGAAGAGTTTGGGATCATCCTAGTGGTATTTGTTGGTGACATTATTATTACTGGAAGCAACGTGTAAGGAATCTTATCAAAAAAATTATTTCTCCAAAATCAATTGAACATTAAAAGTCTGGGTACCTTGGAATATTTCTTCAGGATTGAGGTATCAAGGAGCAAGAAGGGCATCTTTCTATCTCTAAGGAAGTTATTGAAAAAATTAGACTGCTTCATAGTGACTCGCTCTGATGTTACTTATTCAGTTAGCACTATAAACCAGGTCATGTCTTCCCACAAAATCCTCGGGCATGGTTTAAAATATTCATTAATATATTAGAAGAGTTTGGGATCATCCTAGTGGTATTTGTTGGTGACATTATTATTACTGGAAGCAACGTGTAAGGAATCTTATCAAAAAAATTATTTCTCCAAAATCAATTGAACATTAAAAGTCTGGGTACCTTGGAATATTTCTTCAGGATTGAGGTATCAAGGAGCAAGAAGGGCATCTTTCTATCTCTAAGGAAGTTATTGAAAAAATTAGACTGCTTCATAGTGACTCGCTCTGATGTTACTTATTCAGTTAGCACTATAAACCAGGTCATGTCTTCCCACACAATCCATCATTGATTAACTTTAAAACTAATATTATGTCACCTCAAAGGAGCTCCTAGACAAAGTATTCTATGTCATAACCATGGGCATAGAAATATTGAATGTTTCTCTAATGTAAATTGGGTGAATTCCAAAATTGATCCAAGACTATTACTTGATTTTGTTTTTGTTGGTGGCCATTTTGTCTCATTGAAAAGTAAAAAACAAAATGTAGTATCACGATCCAGTGCAAAAATCAGAGTATTAGGCAATGGTACATGTTTCGAGTGAAGTTATATGGATATTTCAATTGCTGATATGAATGGATTTTAAGATGGCAATTCCAACAAAACTATGGTGTGATAGCCAAACTTAAATTCATATTGCATCAAACTGTCTTCCATGAATGAACCAAGGACATTGAGATAGATTATCACTTTGTTCATGAAAAGATTCAACAAAAATTGATTTCTATAGCTCATGTAAAGGTTGAAGAACAACTAGCAAGCATCTTCACAAAAGTCCTTCATGAAGCTAGGGTTACTTATATTTGTAATAATTTGGCATGATAAATACTTACGATCCAACTTGAGGGGAAGGAAGATTAATATTGGATATCTAATTATTAAGAACAATGTTCCAATATATAGAGACAGCTGTGTATAAATATATAACATGTGTTCAATTATGAAGAAAAAAAATTGCTTCCCTTTAGAGTAATAACTGATTGATATGATAACTTAATATGATCAAAATTATGAGATCATTATAAAGCTATGAAGTGGGCGAGAATAAAGTGTGATTCAATGAGTGTCTAAAATATGAAGAAGCAGCCGTGGTCCCATAAGAATATGAAAAAACTTCACAAGTTGTAAATCATGCAATTAGCTGGACCACATGTCAGAGTATTGTTCTTACAACTAATACAAAAAAACAAACAAGTGTATATGATACATGTATGGCACAAATAGATGCAAACGGATGCAAGCTAACGTGACAGGCATGAATAATACTTTGAAAAAAGGTTGTGAAAATTGTGAATAAATCTAAAGGCAGGGGCAATGTATAGTTCATAGACAAAACAACCAATCTAATACATACGCAAAAAAAAACAATAATAATGATCTAGATAAAGGAGGTTAATGTTCTTGGGGTGGTAAAAGGAGAGATAAAAACTGAGTGAGCAACACTAGTACATAGTACGCTGCCTGTGATTAGCAGATCAACCTTGGCTTTCCCATTGCCCATAGAAAATCAAGAAGGAAAAACACCAGCACAATTGAATTCATAAGAAGAAAGTACACCACTTATATAAGAGATGGTTGCGAAGAATTGTGTAGGAACTTCAACTCTAATACCGAAGTGATAACGAACTAAGCAAGTATGAAACATTGCAAAGTATTTTTCTCTTTAAGAGGAATAAGAATCTATCATAAAAGAACTCAGAACTAAAGAAAACAATGGGATTGAAAAGATTTAAACGAAAAAAAAGAAAAAAAACTCAAGCATAGAAGGGGAGGTAAAGAAAGAGGCATGAAGAAACCTTAGGAATCAGAGAATCAATCAAGATCAACCAAAAGAAGTGCCATAAAAAGTCTTTTTTTTAATTACATGATCAAGTAATTGAAATACAAGATTCTAGGTACTATTTATAAAAATAGGCCTCACAATAAAACGACAAAACAACTCCTTAACATCATAAAAATATATTTAACAAATAATCATTTCACACTTCAGACAAAATGACAAATAAAGAAAAATAACATAAATTAAATAAAAATATTTCTACAGAAATTAGAATGAATAAAAGTAACCAAAATGTTACGGTAGCCTGCACTACACCAAAGGGTGAGGGGTAAAGAATGTTGCATAAGAGCACAAAATAAATATGCCAATGCAGCATGACTGAATTGACTAATCATAATGTTTGCAATAAGAGGGCATTTTGGATATGATGGCTACAATTAAAAATAAGTCATAAATTTGTAGCCACTACAACTATCACATGAAAACAAGAATAGAAAATGTCCAAGTAATGCATTCACCATTAGATTATAAACAGGTGTCAGAAAAAGAACTATACCACAAGGCACCTCCATTTTGAACCAGGCCACTGGATCGGATCCAGGTCGCTAACTGCAGTAATCAATCCCGTGCACCTAGAAACAATAATGAAACAAAACAGTTATTTTAGAATTCAATACATCAGCTGCTCATTTTTTGAATATCCCATAAAACATTCTCTATACCTTCTCTCTGCTGCATCTTCACTTTCGAAACGCATCTTGAACCTTGTCCCGACAGAAATTGAATAACTGCAGCTCTTCCTAAACTTCCAATAAGGTACAATGAACTCCGACTGGTTAGCCCTACAGAAGTCGAACAAAAACTTCATTCTAAGCACTCAGTTACTAACATCAAGCAAACACAAATTGCAAATGAAGAAGAAACTGTCATGGTACCGGATTGGCATAAAATATCCAAGGAAGGTGACACTCATAAATACAGAATCATAATCGAATTTCATGATTTGAATAAAGTGCAAAAAATGTCATCAATATCAAAAGCATAGGGTCATTGTGATATAAGTTCAATGTTTTCATGATGCATAACACAGAAAAAATAAGTGTAGATTGCATTCTCACTTTGCAATGGAAAGCACCGAGTCACCTAAAGCACCCACAAAAATTTAAGAAGTCAGCAAGTTCAACTATCAAAGCATATATAATAGAATGCATTGGTATGGTTACACATTTTTATACGAACATGCAAAATTCAGTTAAATGAGGGAAGAGTTTATGGGACCGCAGTTAACCAAACCAACAATAGGAAAATAAAATATTATTACCGCAAGGCAGACATAACTAAAGTGCATTCCATGGGTACTGGAGGTCAGCGAAGTGGGCTGGAATGGGGAGTTTGGTGCGTTGGAAGGTGGCAGATTCAACAGGTATAGTTTCTAGAAAGTGAATGAATGCCAACAAAGGCGGCACGGAGAATGGGTTTGGATGGCTGGAACAACGAGGATAGCACGGAGCACGATTGGGACAACATATAGGTAACAGCAGGGGGTGGTAAAGGTTGGTTGGAAAAGTTGGGAGTAATTGGAAATAGCAAGGGGTAGAGCTAGACAACAAGTAGGAGTGACGGATGGAATGGCTGCGACAGCAAGGAAGGCAATTTCAGGAAGGTGGCAGAGGAATTGACTGCAAAGACATAGCAACAACTATTCGGAGGTGGCTACAGCAATGAAGGGCAACCAGGAGCAAGGAGGGAAAGATGTGGAAGGGAATAAAAACAATAATCACCACATTGGGAGAGAGATACAAACGGAGCACTCCCAAACCCTCGGATACAACAATTAAAGGGAAAAATAGACGTCGACAACTAACTTAAACAAGCTCACGCAAAAAACTGACTTCCAAACCCTAATTTGATATATATATATATAATATATATATATATATATATAAGACTAAATAGGAATGAAGGATAATAGGAAAGAAAGCATAAAAAAGTGATTAGGATTTGATTCAGCTCATCTCCCCGTCTCCTGCAATAGTGGGAGTTGCGGGACTCACGTCCTACATCCAAATAGAAGCGCTTCCGCGTCAGTCTTCTAAGGTGGGGGGTTTTGCATCTATATATAGAAGCTTTTGTTTCCTCATAATATGGAATCATGTTGGAGACATTGAAGGTGGCAGAGCTGTTGCGATCTCCTCGTACGTCAATCATGTAGGTGTTACATTCTAAAGCACATACTGGTAGAATAAATATTCATTCTTATTTGACACAATTTGAGCTGGTGAAGTATATAGATGAGTATTCACCCGAATAAGGATTCGAGTAACTACATTTGTAAACTACTCCCACTTCTAATGTTTTTTTGTTGGATGTATCTGATAAATAAGTGGGGAGGGATCAACTACGGTATGAAATCTGTGACAGGCTGCACACTCTCACTAGCAACCACTCAGAAGAGATTTCTTCTCCTCTGGTAAACCTAGATCCCATTATAGTGTTTTCTTACCCACCAATCTACTAAGACAATATCCTAAGTTGTGGTTCATCCCTCATGTCTGGTCATCTATTGGTGGGTACATTATTAAACTGAATTTAATATCCGAAAAACCAAGTATAACTTTCTATAAGTTACACAAAAAAACCTCATCTTTGACATGTTAGACCTCCCTCAATAAGGGCAACTCAGGAAGAAATCTTTATATCTGAAAAAGTCTAAACTTCTCTTATTTAAGGTTGTCATGCCTCCGGCGTCGATTCCTCAAACTCAAGTCAGTATTAGACAATTACTGTTGATTTTGTTGGAATCTCTCTCATGGGTTTGGCTATAATTACGTGCATCTTTTCCTCACTGATTAGAAGCTGGTACTCTTTTGTGTCCACCGTGTCATTACCCATTTTTTTCAAAAACGTCATGCTCAGTGAAATAGATCATTCCCTTGGTTTTGCAATCTGATTCAATATGCACAAATATGTGGCACTTGAAAAACTTCCTAACGGGGAGAGGTTTAGGAAAACTAGTTCATTCCACCTGTTATCTAATTTGAATTAGCTTCTACTGAGGCCAAATCAGTTTAGATGTTCCCCTAAGTGTACTCTGACAGTAAGATCGTAGAGTTGAACTCTGCTTGTAAGATGTAATAGTCGTTTGGTGATGTGATCTCTTCATTTTTAAAGTTGGGAACTAAACATCTGGTCTACAATGAGCTGGTAGGTAATGGCATTGCGTCTCCGCTTTTATCTTGTAGAAGATAGCAATCTTGCCTTTTCTCTCACACTAGCATAGGTGATTTAAATTTTCCGATCAAAATAACAACTTTTTTTTAACTTACCGGGTGACTAGTTTTCCATTCTATCCGATGAACTCATTCGAATTCAAGTGACCGTCAAAATCTATTAAATCTACAGTTACTTCAAAATTTTGACTTCTCGAATATTCAAGTCAAATCTTTGAGGTAGGTTGTTCTTCATCTCTGAAATCCGCACGATGTAAGTGATACACTCCATTCCTTCAATCTGGCAAGTCACTATTGTAGATTGCCTCCTCTAGAAAGCAGTAAGCCTGTGTTACAGTAGGAGAATTTCCCGCCGCACATCCTCTACAAAAGATTCTCGGACATCTCTTTACAGATTTCTCAAAAACTACATTATGCATTTTTTTCCGAATAGGTCTCTGACAATTCTCTATTTGATAGCGTGGTTGGGGTTTAGGTTCGGGTTGGTGGAAGAGGTTGTATAAGGATAATATATTACGGAAATAAAAAATTGAGTGAAGGTAGGGCTTGGAATGGGTGGATGTCGAAACTCTAGGATAGGACTAGGATATATATATGTATAACTATGAAGCCAATTAGGAGGTTACAACTCAACGATGTTGAAACTCTAGGATATGACTAGGGTTAAGCTCTCTTTAATCCAAAATGATACTTGAGTTAACCAAAGCAATACAATACATATATATATATATATATATATATATATATATAACTATGAAGCCAATTAGGAGGTTACAACTCAAGCACTATAAAAGGAAAATGCAATAACAGAAACAAACAAACACAACTAAAATGTAACGGGTGGTGGAGGTCAACGAGGCCGGCTAGAATTGGTAGGTTGAGGTGTTGGAAGGTGGCGGATTCAACATATAAGGTTTCTAGAAGGTGGTTGAGTTGCGGTAAGGCATGTCAGGCAACAATAAAGCAGCATGAGGATTGGTTTGGGTGGCTAGAACAACAAGAAAAATACGGGGCATGGTTGGTACAGCAACTAGGTAGTGATGGAGGGTGGTAAAGGCAGTTGGAAAAGCTGGAGGTGACCAAAAACAACAGTGGGAAAATCGGACAGCAAATAGGCTGCAACGGAGAGTGGTAGAGGTGGCTAGAATCGATGCAGCAGCGAGGTTGGTGAATTCTAGAAAATGGCAGAGGAGTCAACTGAAAAAAAATAGCAATGGCGGCTGTTCGGAGGCAGCTGCAGCAACGGAGGATGACCGGGAGCAAGGTGGGGAGGATGTGGAAGGGGATCGGGACAATATTCACCACCTCGAAAGAGGGAGTCAGCCGGAACACCACCCAAACTTTTGGATACAGCCATCAATGGAAGAAAATGGACGTTGAAGGCTGTCCTAAATAAACTCACGCCAAAAACTAACTTCCAAACTCTCGCACATATATAGGAAAGAACTAAAAAGAAATATTAGAAAAAAAAGCATAAAAAAGGAAATCAAAACTGATTTGGCCCGTCTCCCTGTCTGTTTCAAGAGTATGTTTCTCAATTAACTTCTTTCCTTCATTATCCCGAGCAAAGCGCTCATCAGTTTGTGCATGCAAAAATTCAAATTTAAACATGTCATGTAACAAAAAAAGTTCTTATCAAAAGCTATCTTCCATGCTAGAATACTAAAACAAGTCTCTATATCAAGATTAGTACGAAAGAAGGAAATAATATTTTTATTTGAAACTTGTTATAGTAAAAACTTTCATATTGTGTTGTGAATATAATTGTAATAGTAATTGTAGACTTTCACTTTTTCTGTACTTTTAGTATTTTCAGTTTTCGTATTTCTTTTTTTAATTCTCAATAAGTTCTTTAGAACATATTATGTTTTATTTAATGCTTTAAAGCATGTATGTAATTTTACAGTTAGTACCTGCAATATACCAGAGAAAAAGTAGCAGAAAAAATGTTATGCAAGTTCATAGTATCAATTGATGCTACATTCATCTGAATGGAAAATAAATAAATAAATAGTTAAGCACTTTTGGTTATATTTGCATAGTGATTATGACATTCTCAGCAAATGAATTGAGAAGATTATTTGACTAGAATAACACAAGGGCTATTTGTCTACAAATATAGGAGTTTACAGATTGGTAAGAGATTTTAGTTTTTTATGAGTTACGTTGGAAGTAAAACAAATGAAAACTTCTTCCCTTACGAGAAAATTGAAATATCTCCCACGGGAGCCATTTCTAATGTATCCTAAATTCACCCAATCAAACAATTTTGGAATACAACATTCTTGTTACATACACGCAGCTCCAATTTCATGCAATAATCTTGTTTCCAGAAGATAAAATAATATTAAACAAATAGATATGATAGGTTAAACAAAGAATTTTACTTATAATAAAAATTTAGTTTTAACAAAGGCAAAATTGAGAACTCAAAAGCTTTGCCTTAGTGAAGTGATGCATAAGCCTTGAAGTAATAAAAAAACTCATAAAACTGAAAATAACTCATAAATAGGGCTAACCATCAATATATTTATCTTGTTTCATAAAAACATAAAACACAAAACTCAATCTTAAATGTTGATAAAAAGTGAGTTTAAAATACAATCTAAGAT